GACACTACTCTCTCTGAATAGGACTATCTGTGGCCTTCGTTTGACTTCTATAACAGAATTATCCTCAGGTTTGAACGCCCTAACTTCTTATTTTGTAGGCACATTGTGGGCTGACCTCCAGGCTATTCAGATTGACTAAACAGATCCGATTCAATGTCTTAATGTTTCTATATCTGGGTTATGTGTGTATACCTTGCTGGTATAGGGTTCTACCCTTGATTTTTCTATCTCAATTTGATACTTTTTTTGAAACAAGATTTTAGTTATCTCAGTATCATGGCAGTTGGGTCTGCTACTGCTGTCACACAGACCTGTTCCTCAATGTCAAGGTGTACAGAGGAGAGTTACTAGTAGCAATACAAATAGTAGCCAAAAGATGGACTATCAGAGTAAGCGTCTTAACTGGTGGTTAAGAGTACTTTGATTCTAAAGTCCTAAGCATGGAGCAGGAAGTCCTCTGATGTGACTGTGTAGATCTGAACTTTGTTCAATGCCATTGTGTGAGAGAACTTACTGAATGCCTAAGCTTTTCACTGGTATAAAGCAGAGCTAAAATTCAATGTCTGGCCAAACTCAAAGCTTTTTGATGTATAAGATTCCTAAATGAACACAACTAGCCAAGGCCAGGAGACTAAGCACTGCGGCTCCCATCCCAGCGGGAGTCAACACACCCACAGACTGCTAGCATCCTGGTCCCTTTCACTGCCCATGGGACTAGGTAGGCCTGGGCCTGTCTCTGGCCCACCTTCCAGTGCCCTGTGGGCAACCAGTTGTGACCTGAGGACTACACACTGTGCATTCCATCCTGTCAGGTCTCAGCATGCCCAGAGACTGCCAGCGTTCAAGTAACATTCTCTACCCATGGGACAGGCTAGGTAAGTATGGGTCTGTTTCCGGCCTGCCTTCTAGTGCCCTGAGAAGAACCACTGGAGACCTGGGGACTGCGCACTGCAGATCACATCCCGACAGGGTCCAGCCTATGCACTAGGACTGCCTCCATCCATGCAAGATAAGAGCCACCAGAGTATTGGACCTGCTTTTACCCACCAGAAAGGAGCCATGGTAACCCACCCACCAGGAGAGGAAGAAACTCCTTCTGCACCCACTGGAAGAAGTGATGGGAATGAGACAATATAAAAATACACTCAGCAACAGAAAAACAAATATGGCACTGACAGAGTCTAGAGACTCTACACAAGCAAGACCTGAACACCCCAACGCAGATGAAGCAGAAGAGAATGACCTTAAAAACAATTTCATGAAACGATAGAGGTCCTCAAAGAGGATATGAGAAAATCTCTTAAAGATATGGAAGAAAAAAACAAACCAAAAACTCCAAAAAATGCAAGAAAGGGAGGAAAAAGCAAAGTAAAAGTTGCAAGAAACAATTCAAACAGTACAAGGATTGAAAGCTGAAATAGAGACAATTAAAAAAACACAGTCTGAAGGAATGCTGGAAATAGAAAAGCTGGGGAAACAGTCAGGTACTACAGATGCAAGCATAATCAACAGAATACAAGAGATGGCAGAGAGATTCTCAGGTATTGAAGATGTACTAGGAGAAATAGATTCATTGACCAAAGAAAATCATAAGTCCAACAAATCCCTAACACAAGATATCTAGAAAATATGGGATACCATGAAAAGACCAAACCTAAGAATAATAGGTATAGAAGAAGGTGAAGGAAACCACCTCAAAGGGGAAGAAAACTTATTCAACAAAATCATAGAAGAAAACTTTCCCAACCTAAAGAAAGACATGCCAATGAAGGTACAAGAAGCTTACAGAACACCAAATAGAGTGGACCAAAAAAAAAAAAAAAAGAAAAAGAAAGAAAGAAAGAAGTCTCCTTGCCACAAAACAATCAAGACCCCAAGCATACAGAATAAAGAAAGAATATTAAGAGCATCTAAGGAAAAAGGTCAAGCAGCAAGCAGCATACAAAGGCAAACCTATCAGAATTACACCTGACTTATCCATTGAAACTCTGAAAGCCAGAAGGTCCTGCATAGGTATTCTACCAATACTAAGAGACCATGGGTACCACCCAAAACTACTATACCCAGCAAAGCTTTCGATCACTATACATGGAGAAAACAAAATATTCCATGACAAAGCAAGATTTAAACAATATGTATCCACTAATCCATCCCTACAGAAAATTGTGGAAGGAAAACTCCAACACAAGGAAGACAACTACAACCAGAAAAATATAGGCAATAGATAATCCCACTTTACCAACAGTCAAAAGAAAAAAGGGGTGAAAATCCACACACAATTCCACCAACAACAACAACTCCAAAACAAAAATGAGCAATCAAAGATCATTAATATCTCTCAATATTAATGGCCTTAATTTGCTCATAAAACGACACAGGCTAACAGAATGGATTCAAAGACAGAATCCATCCTTGGCTGTATAAAAGAAACACATCTCAGCATCGGAGACAGACATTACCTCAGAGTTAAGGGTTAGGAAAAGATTTTGCACTCTTATAAACCAAAGAAACAAGCAGAGGTAGCAATTCTAATATCCAACAAATTAGACTTTAAACTAAAATCAATCAAAAGAGATCAAGGAGGTCATTTCATACTCATTACAGGAGAAATCCACCAAGATGAAGTCTCAATTCTGAATATCTATACCCCAAATACAAAGGCATCCATGTTCATAAAAGAAACATTATTTAAACTCAAATCACACATAAAACCTCACACACTTATAGTGGGAAACTTCAACACTCCACTCTCACCACTAGACAGGAACACCAGACAGAAACTTAAAAAAGAAGCAAAGGAATTAGTAGAAGTTATGACCCAATTGGGTTTAACAGACATCTATAGAACATTCCATTCAAACACAAAAGAATGTATCTTCTTCTCAGGGCCACACGGAACCTTCTTAAAAATCGACCACATACTCAACAACATACAAAACCTCAACAGGTACAAAAAATATTAGAATAACTCCATGTGTCTTATCAGACCACCGTGCATTAAAGTTAAAATTCAACAACAACACAAATTGCAGAAACTCTACAAACTCATGAAAATTAAATAATGCTCAATTGCACCATTCCTGGGTCAAAGAAGAAATTATAGACTTCCTAGAATTCAATGAGAATGAAGACACAGCATACCCAAACTTGTGAGACACTTTGAAAGCAGTGCTAAGACGAAAGTTCAGAGGTCCAAAGAAAAATACAAAAAACCATTCTAAATGAGTCCTTTCCATCAATAAACAGGGTATAACTAAATCCTGTCTGCACAGACACTATAATTTCTGCACAAGTCTCTGTTTAGTTTATGTACACCTGTCAGGAATCTTGCCCCACTTAAGAAACACATTTAATTTTTTTAGTTTTTTTTAATTGGCCATTAAATGAGTTGATTGTAAAAAGACTTAGCCAGGAAGTGATGGCATGAGCCTTTAATCCCATTACTCAAGAGGCAGAGGCAGGCAGATTTCTGGCTTAGAGGCCAGCCTGATCTGCAGAGCAAGTTCCAGGACAGTCAGGACTACACAGAGAAACCCTGTGTCTTCGTTAGGGTTTCTATTGCTGTGAAGGGACACATGGCCACAGCAACTCTTATAAAGGTAAGCGTTTAATTGGGGTAGCTTGCTTACAGCTCAGAGGTTTAGTCCATTGCAGTCATGCTAAACATCGAGGTAGCATGAAGGTAGGTATGGTACTGGAGAAGGAGCTGAGAATTCTACATCTTGCAGGTCACCTGAAGTGATCTGTCTCATTGAGCGTGGCTTGAGCGTATATGAGACCTCAAAGCCCACCTCCACAGTGACACACTTCTTCCAACAAGGCCACACCTCTTAATAGTGCCAATCCCTTTGGGGGGGGTCATTGTTTTTTCAAAGCACTACACCCTGTCTGGGGGGGGGGACAAACATACAAACAAGCACACTAGTATTAAGTCAATTAGCTCTAGGTTGTCCCCCATGGCAAAGGTCTCAGGTTTATTGACTTACTTAAATGTGGGTATGTTTGATCTGGTTTGGTTTGGTTTGGTTTGATGTGGGGTGTCTGTAGCCCAAGATGGTCTGTAATTCATCTGAAGATGACCTTGAATTACCATTTCTCCTCCCAGGTGCTTGGACTGGAAGTATGCACCACCATACCTAGTTTATGTGGTGTTCTGGATCTAACCCAGGCCTTTTGTGTACCAGGCTAGCACCTTCCCGACTCAGCTGCATCCCTGGCCACTTCAGTTATTTTTGTGACAGGGTCTCCTTACATACCCTGGGAAGCCTGGAGCTCATTATCCTCTCAGCCTCCAGGATGCAGGGTTTAAAGGCCTGGACTCTTCCCTAGGTTTATCCTGAATTATCTCTGTCTTAGTTTTCTCAAATCCAGTCAGTATAGAGAAACTGAGACCACTCAGTTCCAAAGAGTTCTTGATGGTGGAAGGGTTAGAAACCAGATAATGGCTTGTCCTTCCTCCCAGCTTGAGCATCTGCAGTTGCAGACACCTCCCCCCATGTAGATCGATGTAGACCCACTAACCACAGGGCTTAGGGTCAGTGCATTCAAATGACCTAAATGAAATCCTGGTAGGAGAACAGTGTGGAAAGGAAGGAAAACAGTCACAAGTCTTACTCGTTGTATTTAACCACTCACGTTTTTATTAGCCGTGAGCAGCAAAAGCATCTCCAGAAAGACCAAGCAAACTCAAAAGAAAGCTGGAGAGAAGGCTTTGCTGATGTGAAATGAATGGACATCAGGAAATGCACACTGTAGAGCAGACCATGCCCACTGACATGTCATCCTGGGGTAAGAAGATCTCCTCAGAGCTGACGAGGTCTCTCCTCAGCACATGGAGAGAACTTGGGTCTGAACTCCAGGAAAGCCAGAGAGCAGGCCGCTGGAGGCAGGCACCCACCGGATGGCTCCACACTTGGGGACTGTAGCGCATTCTCAGAAGCGCTTTGAAGTGTTCCATCATGAAGACGGGCCTCAGGGAGGCTGAGCTCACAGCTGGATTGTTAGCAAGCAGGCACACAGGTGCCCACTTGGCTTACATGTGGAGAACTTGGTGGACAGCAACCAGGGCCGCTGCTGGAAGGTTTGCCAAAGCCAGTCACACAGCAAGGGGGCGGGCAGGAGGGAGATTGGCAGTCTCTCTGATTGGTAGTGGGTCCACCACAAGCTGGTTGGCCAGAAACCATAGCACATGAAGCTGATTTACTGCAGTTCTTTACACAACAAGGGGACTGGAAGGTAGCCACGGGATGGCAGATGAAGGAAACTGAAGGCTCTGGTTGACAGTGAAGCAGCTGGCAAGAGGAGGGTGCCCAACAAGTTTGGCTGCAAGAACTGAACATACAATTTAATGGCTGGCAGGAGGCAGGCATGCAGGGAGCTGGCTGGCAGGGCTTGAGAATATAGCAGATAGGTTGGTAATAAACTGGCTTGCAGAGCTGACCTTCACCTTTGATGGGTTGATGTGACCCTCCTTGGCAGCAGGTCGGTTGGCATGAACCAGCCTCACAGATGGCTGGTAGGCACAGGGTCTCAGCACAGGCAGTTGCTTCAGAGCAGGATGGCTGGCAGGATCCACCGTCACAGGAGGCTGATGGTCCACATGCTGCCTGGCATGACCCTGAGGTGCAGGCAGGTCCCTGACCGGAGCTCTGGTGACAGGGGCTGTTATCGCAGCATGTCGAGTGACATCCAGTGGATTCCAAACTGGAGGGCTCGCATGAGGCAGCTGGACGAAGAGTGCCACCAGTGTCAGGTGCACAGCAGGCTGTCTGTGAACCTATGGGTTGGCAAACAAAACCCACACAGGAAGTTTCTGGAAAGCAGGTTGATGGACAAGAGATGGGTTTAGAGGTGACTGGGATACTGTTGGATGGTGTGCAATCTTCTTGATGTGTAACCAGTTGCCACGTCCTACTCTGGCAGGAACTGGGCAAACGGATAGCATTTCTAATGCTGTCGCCCTTGGAGCACGTGGAGATGGTGGGCACAGATGGGACAGCCTTGGGATTTCCGGGACAAGGGCTGTCTGTCATAGTGTTGCTGCTAGCCTGGCCGGGAAGCTGCAAGCTCCATCTGAGTTTGAAAAAGCATCTTATACCAAGGGGGTTTTATAGTCCTTCCCTGGGGTATTGGCACTGCCCACAGCATCTTTCCTTGTTATTTTTCTTATTCATTTGTGTATAAACATCAGATTAGTGCTTCCGGAGCTAAGGAAGATGTGCCCACTTTAAAACGGAAGTCATGCCTCCTGAGCCTGGAGTTTCCTTTGCCGAATTTGGATGCACAGATGTTGCTGTGGAATGAGCTGTCTCTTTTATAGGTTGTTCCTCAGCCTCACCACAGCGGGCTTTTCCTGGCTACCCTCTCATCAGGAGGCCTCCTGGATGCTAAAGCCGCTCTTCCTCCAGGACGCAGTCCTGTGCCATTGGGATTGGGTGAAGCACTGAGGGAACTGGGAAAGAAGTGTGAGAGCAAAGATGGAGAACAAAGATGGGCCCCAAGGATGTGTAAATGCTCTCCTCCCTTTAGAATCTTAACCTTCGAATTGCTGCCGACAATTAGCAGCTGGAATGGCTTCCGTTTACTGCGCTTGCCATATATGACCAAGCCCTTGGTGGCATTTTCATTTATCCTTGAAATGGCCTTAGCTAGTAAGAATACTTGCCATCCCTATTTCAAAGGTGGCAAAACAAACTCAGAGTTTAAATTATGATGAAAACAAAATTCAAATCTAGAGTGATCATTCCCCGCACCCCCCCCCAAAAAAAAGCCTCTGCTCAATTGGATCTCCCTGGGAGGTGCAGAGAAGAGGGTTTACACTGCACGGACTGAGGAAAGGCATTCACTCAGTGGGGCTGGCTCATAAACAACATGTCCAGGTCCTGTGAAGTCACCTCCCCACTGCTGTGTGATGCCAGCTTACCCAAATGAGTTGAATTTTTATCTCTATTGAGTAATACGCCCAAAGATAATCTTTTCATTTGGAAATTTAAAATATGAACATTTAATCAAGCATGGCAGATCACCCCGATAATTCTGATACTTGAGAAGCTGAGGCAGGATTGCTCTTCAAGCCCAGTGTAGGTTGCATAGTGAGTTCCATGTCAGCCTGAACCAGGGTATGAGACACTTCTCAAAAACTCCTGGGGAAGAAAAACAAACCTTCAAATATTTCATGAAGGAGTACTAACTCATAAAATGGAGGCCAGCGACTTATGAATTCCACAAATACAAAACGTCAGCAACCAGAAATACTAGGTCATCTCCGCAAAGCCTTTTAAAGCTCAGGCAATCTCTTCCAAGAAAAATTTGTGATGCTCTCTATGAACCTATCTCTTTTTCCTCTAGGCTCAAGTGGGTGCTGCACCACTAACTAATTCTAGCATCCCACGGAAGTCCATGTCCTGGCCTGGTTCCTGCTGGAGACGTGTGACGGAATGGAAAGATGATGGTGTGGGATGGCAGGCAGGGCTAGTCTTGACTTCTGGCTTTGCAGCTCATTCTGTGGAACAGGTTCGCTCATTACCCATGTCTTCAAAGCACCGAGACATCATAAACCACCTTGATGTTTCTTAGGTTAACTCAACTGCCTCAGAAACGGTTGAAACGGCTGAAAATTCTGGAGAGGGCTTGGCAAAGAAGCAGATATGGAACCCTATCTTATTGTCCCCTTCTTCACCCTCTGTTTTAAAAGAAGAGAACTCCTGATGAGAGTCATGTCTGGAAGACATGCCCCCTCATCCTTGAAGAGCCCTTCTCTGTCATTGTCTTTCCTCTGGTGTCATGGATGGCTTCTGGAACCTTCCTTTGTCGTCTTTAAAACTGCAGATATCACGCACCCCCATAATTCTCATACTTGGGAAACTGAGGAATATGTTCTATTCTGGAATATGTTTACCCCAAAGTTCTTCATCTCCCAAGAGAAATACATTTAGTCTCACCAAATAAGTCAACCAAACAAGGATACATAAAAATATTTGAAAAAATAACATCAATTTCAATTTGAAAGGTGAAATTCTGTAGAGACACACCAGTTGCATAGACAGAAAGCTCTATTTTTCATCAATTTTTTCTCTAAGTGATTCTTCTTTTGCTTCCTCTTCTTAAAAAAAAAACAATTAAGAGAAACTTTTATTTCAATCAGCTGAATGTGATTAAAGGCACTGAAGACATCTACAATGTCGTTCAAAGACATTTCAGGACCACATTAAGAAATACAATGATGGGACTGGAGACAGGGCTTAGTATTTAAGAATGCTTCCACACAACCGTGAGGACCAGAGTTCAGATGCCACATAAAAAGCCAGTCATGGCTGTGGGTGCCCCTGACCTCAATGTTGTTAGAGTTTGAGACAGAAGGATTGCTAGCATTTGTTGGTCACCAGTCCAGTTTCAGTGAGAGTCCCTGTGTCTAGGAAATAAGTCAGAGAGTGATGGAGTGGGGCAAGTAAGCCCTTCTGTGCCTGTGGAGCACACTCACAGCTGCACAAACACACAAGCACATACACAAGCGCGTGCACATGCATGTGCACACACACACAGTGCATATGTACCACATACAATCTCAATGTTTCTCTCTCTCCCTCTCCCCTCCCTCCCGTCCCCTCTCACACACACCTCATATAGTGATCAATTATAATTTAAAAAAAAACAGCTTTGGACCAAACTTTAATTTATGTTATTTGCTAGCTATAACTACCCTGAATATACATATATATAATTTATATAAGCTATATATCTTTGTATCTGTGTGTTTATATATGTATGCCCAAATATATATATATATATATATACATATATATATTGTTTTTATACTTTAGAAATAGTTATGATCTTCTAGGGATTATTTAAATCAACCAACATCATTATTAGTGATCACCAGTGTTATTGCATGTAACTCTCTTGCATTTATTTTATTTTCACTGCAGCATAATACTTTGTTATGTTGCTCAAACCATATTTTGTTTGTCTCTTCAACACTTGGCTAGTTTGGCCTTCAGATGTTTCATCTTACACATAGAGGAGAAACAGGGCAGGGAGAAATCTCTCCTTGAAGAATAGTGGTGATATACATGAAACACTAAATCTAACGCCCAGCACAGGGGTTGGAAACACTCACTAGCTGCTTTTCTGACTTTGGAAGAAGAGAGATTAAATCCTAATGCACGGTTATAACAGTAATTCCATCATCCATGGGCAGATAAGTTTCGCTATTGACTGTCCCCCCTCTCTGCCATCATCTAATCTACTGATTCTTCATTAGATGATTCCATGACTCCCTGGAGATGTCTGGGAACAGCTAGATAGTAAGGGACCAGGAATTACACTTAGTGTTATCCAAGACTCCTCAGCAAATGGCTTCCATCACAAATGGCAAAGTGACAATGGTAAGAAGCCCTGGTCTGTCCTCTTCCTGTGCCTATGATGGTTCCAGATACACTTGGAGGATGGGAGACCACCCTACATTCTGTGTGCAAAGGATGTTGCTGCCTTGAAGGAACTGTGTGCCTGAAGGTGTAGGAGGTGATGTGTATGTAACAAGTGACCGTGGGGGTCAGAATATAAAATCCCCCTACAAGAAACCCGGTTGCCCAGCCCTCCTTCCTGCATTTGTTGTTTTCATCCCTCTTTGACCCCCCAGAGACATCTGTTTCTTCCAGTTTCTCTGCATCCAGGGCCACATCTTCTCATTCAATTCTCCATGCTGAGGCAAGAGAGACTTTCCAAAACCCATGTTTCTTCATGTCCCTGCTCTACATACAGGCCCTTTGAGGTGATACATTGTGTATGATTTAACAAAGTCACTGGAGATCAAAATGCAAAGTTAGCCACAGACATAGAGCCAGGCAACGGTGATACGCACCTTTAATTCCACCAGTCACACTGGTTAGCTGTAGAAGTTGGGCAGTGGTGGCACACACCTTTAATCCCAGGACTCAGGAGACAAAGGCAGATTGATCTCTGTGAGTTCAAGGCCACCCAGGGTTATATTAGAGTGAATCAGTTTAAAAGAAAAACAGCTCACACAAAGGAGATCTCAGCACTTGGGATCCTACACCTCTAAACTCAGCTCTAGTGAGGAACATAAGGAAGAAGCAAAGTCGGTCTTAGAGAGCTATTCTCTAGCCACGCTGAGGACAAGACAGCACTTTCAGCCTGAGGCAGAGGGCTAGTGGCCTGCTGCTTTGATTCTCTGACCTTCACTTTGAAGCTTGAACCCTAATATCTGTCTCTGGGATTTTATTATTCATGCTACAGCCTCTGGTGCCTTCACACAAACCCTTCACCAGCCCAAGCCTCTGTCTAGCACACAAGGCCCTCTGTGGAAAGATCACTGCCTGCTACCCACTCTTGGGACTCACCTTCCCTCTGAGGACACCTCTGCCAAAGTACCACCTAATGAACAGTTTGCTCCCAGCCTCATTCCTTTGTAAGTCCTTTTCCTTCCTAGAAAGCCCCTCCTTCTCTGTACCTGGTTAATTCTTACTTGTACCAAAGGACATGAGCCCTCTGCTTTTCATAAAGGTATACAATAACTGTCTTGTTGCTGTGTGTCACCACATCATAGGGTGATCACCCAAAGGCTGGGGACTGAGACTTCTGTCTTTAATTCCTAGAGAATAACACTATCCCTGTCACTTATCTAGCAGCTATCTATTCTATAATGGCCACTAGATGGAAGGGAGTGAGGAAGAATAGGGCAGGAGAGAGGAAGAATAGAAGGAAATAAAGACAAGAAGGAAGAAAGGAGAGATGGAAAAAGAGATAAAGAAAGGGATAAAGGAAGAGACAAAAGGGAGAAAAAAAGGGGCAAAAAGGGGAAGCAAGAAAGAGAGGAAAGAAAGGGAGAGACAGAGAAGGAAGGAAGACTAGAAGGAAGGGAAAAACAATGGACACTTTGAAGGGAGAGGAGAGAGATGGGAATTAAGGAAGGCGTGGAAAGAATGGAAGGGAGGGTGGGAAGGGAGGATAAGAAGAAAGGAGGGAGGGAAGAAAGCAAAGAATGGAGAAGCTAGTAAACAAGATGCTTTGA